CCATTTTTTCCTTTTATTCTTTTTTTTCTTGTCTCTTTCCTTTCCCCCTTCACTCCCCTTGTTCCCCTTCTCATTTGTTTTTTATTGTTTTGTTTTGTTTTTAAGGACAATTTTATTTTTTTCTCAATGAGTTTATTGGTACATTTTAGGTATACAGTGCAGTTACATTGATCATTGGGATCTTGTACCTTTACATGACAGGTCTTGGTTCTCATTTTTCCCCTTATCCCTGCCCTCCCTTCACCTTCTCCTCTCTTCCCTATTTACAAATACTTTATTTAAATTTTTTCATTTTCTCATTTTTTTTTCTTTTCCCTTATTTCCTTTCCCCTACCCTTCCCACTTCCCCTACACCTTTAGCTCTTTTCCTATTTCACATTGAGGATCATACCATTAGGATCTTATGTACAATTATAGTTTTTCATACCAGAGAAACTATTTGTGTGACTATTTATTTCACTTAAGAGTATATCCTCAGTAGGCATCCATTTTCCTATGAATGCCTCTAGTTCCCCTTCTTATTTGAACATTTTCTTCCCATTTCCAAATATCTGTTATATATTTTGGTCCTTATTTACACTTCCAGCTTTTCACACCAGAGAGACCATGTGATATTCGAACAGGTGTGTCTGATTTATTTCACTTAAGCATATGGTTTCAAGGTGCATCCTTGAAATGTCTCAAGCTTGTCTTTTTCTATGGCAGAGTAGTATTCCCTTGTAGAAAAAAATCAGATCTTCTTTATCCATTCATCAGTTGATGGGCATTTGGGTTGTTTCCAAGATTTAGCTATTGTAAACTGCACTGTAAAAACGGGTGTGCATATATTGCTGTGGTATGATGCTTTTAATTCGTTCAAGAAGTTACCAAGAAGAGCTAGATCGAATGGAACCTTTAGTTTGTTTTTTTGAGGAATCTCCACACTGATTTCCACAGTGTTTGTACCAGTCTACATTCTGATCAACAGTGGAGAAGGGTTCCTCTTACCCCACATCCCTGCCAGCATTTGTTATTGGTTGATTTCTTTATAATTGCCATTCTTTCAGGAGTGAGGTGGAATCTCAGTATTGTTTTAATTTGCATCTCTCAAATGATCAGTAATAATGAACATTTTTTCTTTTATTTGCCATTTCTACTATTTCATCTGAGAAGTGGCCATTTATTTCAGATGCCAATTTTTTTATTGGATCTTTAAATTTGGGTGGCCTGATTTTTTTTCTGTTGCTTGTTTTGTTGCTGTTGTTGTTGTTGTTTCTTTGTTTGGGGCTTTTTGTTGTTCTTTTGGGGGGGCAGGTGGTACTGGGGATCAAACTCAGGTCCTTGCACTTGAGAGGCAGGTGTTGGCACCACTGAGCTAAATCCCCGGCCCTGTTGTTGTTCTTTATATATTCTAAATAATTAGTCTTTTGTCTGAGGAACAGCTGACAAAAATTTTGTCCCACACTGGATTGGTCTCTTCACTTAGTAATGGTTTCTTTAGCTGTACAAAAGCTTTTTAATAAGATAAGATCCCAGTTGTTGATTCTTTGTGGTATTTCCTATGTGATTGGGGTTTTGTTCATAAAATCTTACCCTACAGCAACACCTTCAAGAGTTCTTAAAGTATTTTATCTTCTGGTAGATTTTATTTCTGTTTTAATATTTAGATCTTTGATCCATTTTGATTTGAGCTCAGTGGATGGTGAAAGGTATGGATCCAGTTTTAAACTTCATCATATGGAAAGCCCAGTGTTCCATCATCCTTTATTAAAGAGGCGGTCTCTCAGCCGGGTGTGGTGGTACACACCTGCAATCCCAGCACTTGGAAGACTGAGGCAGGAGAATCACTGTGAGTTCGAGACCAGCCTGGGCTACATAGTGAGTTCCAGGTTAGTCTCAACTACATAGTGAGACCCTGTCTCAAAAAACCAAAAAGGGTGGGGGCAGGGATTTATTGCAGTGGTTCCACCGCCTGCCTTGCCAGTACAAGGACCTGAGTTCAATCCCCGGTACCAAACAAAGAGTCTGTCTCTCTTCCAGTGGAAGGTGTTTGGCTCCTTTGTCAAAGCTAAGTAGCTGATTGTGTCTTGATTTGTTTCTGCATTTCCAGTCTGTCCCATTGATCCTCATTTCTGTTTTTGCCAGTAGCATGCCGTTTTTATCACAGTAGCTTTGTAGTGTAATTTCAAGTCAGGAATTATGGTGCCTCTGACCTCGCTTTTGTTGCCCAGAATTTCTTTTACTATTCTAGTTCTCTTCTGGTTCCAAATGAATTTTAGGATTGTTTTTTCTAATTCTGTGAGATAGTCTGTTGGTATTTTGATTGGGATTGCCTTAAATCTGTATAACAGTTTTCGAAATATAGCCATTTCCACTATCTTCCTACCCAAGAACAAGGGATATCTTTACATTTTGTGATATCCTCTTCAGTCTCCTTTTTCAGAGTACTGTAGCTTTCATTGTAAAGGTCTTTAATTTCCTTCATTAGATTGATTCCTAGGTATTTCATTTTTTTGGATGCTATTATGAAAGGTATTATTTCCCTCATTTGTCTTTCAGTGAGTTTGTTATTTGTGTACAGGAAAGCTGTTGATTTTTTTAGTATTGACTTTGTATCCAGCTACACTACTGAATTTGTTTATTAAATCTAGAAGTCTTTCGGTAGTTTCTGGGATCCTCTGTATAGAATATCATGTCATCCACAAATAGTGATAATTTAACATCTTCCTTTCCATTCCTTTTATTTCTTCTGTGCTGACTTCCTATACTATATATTAATTTCTATCTAACTTAGCTCCCTGTTATAGATAGATAAGACTTATAGATCTTGGGATTTGAGAAATGAGAATTTTCTGGTTTGGAAGAATAATTGTGCCCTTAAAGATTTAAGGAAATCCAAGCAAAGGCTTAAGTACTAGGGAGAAATAGCTTAATTTTAGGTATATTCAATCTGATGTGCTCATGGGACATTTTAAAGGAGATTTCTCATAGATAATTGGAATATAACTCTAAAGTTTATATTAATGTGAGATTATAGATTATAGTGGGGAATGAACCCCATCAGTTTCAGGAGAAATTAAGAATTGTAAATTGGAGGCTATAGTTGATATATCAGCTTTTCGTTTTGCCTATTGGCAAACACGTTTATTATTTCTCACACATTTGAGTTGGCTAGATGGTTCTTCTGGTCTAGCTAGCTTAGCTGATCTCTAGAGTCTCCTGGTGGCTCAGAGGGACTGAATGATACAGAATAGTGTAAATTACATGTATAACAATTAATAGATGATTCTAGGTTTGCCCCACCTGGAATGACTCTTTGCACTCCAAATTATCTCTCTTCAGTTGATCAACCTAGGCATCTTGTAGTTCCTCAGAATTTCCTAGGACCAATCCAGAGTATTACTGGGTTTTGGGGTGCTGGAGTCTCATTCTACAGGTGATTTCTAGGTTCTTTCTGAACTGAACAAAGAATTGGTCAAGACAAGCATAAATGGTGGCAAAGTTTTATATTTATTAAAAGAAATTTTAAAAAGCCGGGTGTGGTGGCACATGCAGTCAGGAGGCTGAGGCAAGATGGCCGAGAGTTTGAGGCCGGCCTGGATACATAGTGAGTTCAAGGCCAGCCTGAACTACAGAGTAAGACCCTGTCTCAAAAAAACAAAAAGTAAACAAATGAATGCTTGGACATAGGAAAAAACAGGCTCTGCAGAGCTACTTCGGGCCAAGTAAAAGTAAGTGGGGGAAAAGTTCACCCTCTGTCCACCATGACAGTGGGCTACCAGGAAGGGAGAGATTGTATTTCCCCTCACCAAGGCTGTCTTTAGGTCTGGGGTTTGAGTTCACGAGAGAAGTCACATGTAGGGTTTTGGAAATTGTTCTGTGCATGTATCCTGGGGTTTTATAATTAACAAGTCCTCCCTACTTCACCAGCCAGTCTTAGCCATACCCTGCCTTCCTGCCTCAGGAGGGCAGCCTTAACGTGCTTTGTTGCCAAACTGGCCAAACTTAGCTAAGGAGACCATATTTATAATATGCCACAATTGAGGGCATAGAAAAAAAAGAAGCAGGTCTGGGACAAAATCTTCAGCATCTAACATTTTATAGTCCAAATTAGAAAATAATGAGGATTATACAAGTTGAATATCCAGGGCTAGGAATGTAGTTCAGTGGCAGAGAGCTTGCCTACCCTGTGAAATGCTCTGGGTTGGATCCTCAGCACCACCAAAAACTTAAAATTAAAATATAAAGCTAGAATGTCTGTTGAATAAGAGATTGAGAAAAAAATAGAAATAAAGACAAATGGAAAAGCAAAAGCTAGAAATAAAGACAGAAGTGAAAAAGCCAGGCATGGTGATGCAGTGCCAGTAATCAGTTCAAGACCAGCTCAGGCAACATAGTGAGTTCAGTGCCCACCTAAACTCCATAGCTAGACCCTGTCTCCAAAAAAAGAAAAAAAAAGACAGAAGTGAAAGGAGGAGTGTAGGGTAGGGTTAGAGTAGCAGCACAGAGATTAGAGGAAGGGTGAAAGGTGTTTTTAATAGGAGAGCAGTGATGACTACTAAAAGCATCTTGGTGATAGTCTTGAGAAGACAAAAGCTAAATAATGACTAATGATGGCTAATAAAGCTACTTGACATAGCCAGGGATTTAGCTCAGCGGTTCGGTGCCCTGCCTCACAAGCACAAGGACCTGAGTTCGATCCCTGGTACCACACACACACACACACAAAGATACTTGACAGAGATCTTTCTAGATTTATAAATTAGGATAGTAAATAAAGCTGATTTGTTTCGTATCTTAATGCATTGTTTTGTTTTTTTTAAGATGGCAGCTAAATGATGGGATTCAGATGTGCTTTCTGTATCTCAGGCACTAGAAAAATATTCTAGATTTTACCAGTTTTACTAAAGTTTAGAAGTATTCTTTGAATAATGTAAATAATTCATATCTTCTTATTCTGTCACTTACCTTTTCTGTTTTAAAATCATAGTATTAAAGATGGTAATTTATTTTATTCGTAGGACCAGAAAATAGAAGATCTCCGACAATGCCTGAACAAGTACAAGAAAATGCAAGATGAAGTGGTGTTCCCTCAAGATAAAAAAGGTAGCACTAAAGGCTTTCCTTTTTGTTTTTCCCCCTTGCTTTATTTTTTTTTTCTTTTTATTGAGTTTATTGGTATAATCTAGGTATACCATACAGTTATATTCATTACTGGGATCCTGTACCTTCACATAACAGGTCTTGGTTCTCATTTTTCCCCTTGCTTTAGTTCTAGGCGGTAAATCCAGAGCCTTGCATATACTAAGCAATCACTCTATCCCTGAGCTACATCCCCAGCCTTTTTTATTTTGTTTTTTGAGACAGCATCTCACAAAGTTGCCCAAGCCAGCCTCACACTTGCCATCCTCCTGCTTCACCTTCCTTAGTAGATGAGATTACAGGTCTGCATTCCACCCCTGGCAGACTTTTCTGCTTTTCTTGATTCAAAGTGGTGGTGAATTTACACTGGCCCAGATTTCTTGCATGCTCATTATCCCACATTAGGTAGCACATTCCTTTGCTAAATGACCTTGTTAAGCAACTGTTCTCTACTAGAAAGTGTGAGAATATCAGGATTAGTTGATTCTGGAGAGCATCTCTAAGTTGATTAGGTGACATTCTAGAGAGAGAGAGACATGAGCCCAGGAGAAAAAAAGAAGTTGGTGTGTTTAAGAAGTAGAAAAAGACCAGTACATCTGGACATCAGAGAGCAACAGGGAGAGTGAGGTGCACTGGTATGAACAGTGGCGTCCGTGCATCAGTCATGCAAGGTGAGGTGTTCAGCTCTTATTCAGGTGTGGAGAAATCCACTGAAGGGTTTTTAAAAGTCTATAACATGATCTTTGTAACAAATAGAACATAGGAAAGAGCAATGTTCAGAGCAGGGGAAACAAATCAAGATGCTTACAATATTCCAAGTGAAAAGATCTGGGGGAGCCAGGCATGGTGGTGCACGCCTATAATCCCAGCACTCGGGAGGCTGAGGCAGGAGGATCGCTGTGAGTCCGAGACC